CTTTGCGTTCTCTTTATCAATTTTCGCCCGCACTACTTTCATGTGTATTTCCGGTCATTCCTCGCTGGTAGCTTGGAATGCTCTCTGGCCCATTTCTGTCTGCTCTCTGTAAGGGAGCATCCAAAAATGACGTAGCATATTTTTGATCAATTTTATACTTCTCCCCCTCCCTCGTAGCGTATTTGGCTATATCCAATACATGGCCGGTCACAAATTCTGAAACCCTCACCTCCCCCCTCAAATGCTACGTCATTTATGCATGGTCCCTAATTTGTATATGCGTGTTGGTGATATCGTGTAGGGGAGCTGCGTTGTTTTACTTTTCGGCTGGTTCTTGACGCTCTTCATTAAAAAATATTAATAATATAACATTTACAATACGAATAAAATAAGAGAGTAGCGATTCAATACGGCATCTCTTATGGTGGTGAATTGAACGGCAAAATCCCTGGATGCTTCTCGGTAAGATTTCTCCGCACGCATCATTGCCACAGTCTTCTCCAAATCCTCCGGCGTGTATTTAGTTTCCATGATCTGCTGAAAAACATTGGATAAAGTAGAATCGTCATTAGTGATGCACAAGTGTACGGATTTAGAATCAGCTGTTATATATGGATCGAAATCCGTACAGTACTAATTTTGATAAATAAATACCATATGAACGATCCATTGCTTAGAATTGAGATATAAAACGATAAACACTTACCTTTCCGATCGACCTTCAGGAAACTACTTACAAAAATCACTTAAATACGCTTAACAACTGGAAGTAAATCCGAGACATTTTCATAGAAAAACGTTAAGAGCGCAACCGATTGACAGAAATGCGCGACACGTGATAAGGTTTTTATTTTTCTTATTTTAATTGCATGTTATACTGCTTAATTGTTGAAGTAAACATCAAGCTGATGCATGAATGAACATGAATATGTATTCATGTATAATATTTACATTGTTATGATGCATATAAATAAACAAATTCAACAGGGTGTACGGATTTCGGTGCTGTACGGATTTCGGTCCCGCACGGTACAAAATGCTGCTGATTTCGAGTTGCCGATGAGAGCACCGCTGTTTAACACGCAGCTCAAATAGAAAGGTTGCCGAATAAAAAGATGTTGCCCACAATAGTCGCTCTCACTAGAGAATTCTTTCGACTGAAATTGTTAGAGCAGCTGGCAGCAAAAGATTGTAAACAAACCAATACTGCATATGTGCGCGTTTCTTAGAGAAAAGGGCTATAGAAAGATGGTCACTGCTTAGGTTGCCGAAAATACGTAAATTCCCCTACCAGAATCAAACGCGGACTCGACGAATACAAACATACAAATCATTGCACAAATAGGCCTGGTTTTAGCCACTTGAAAGCTTGGTTGCATCAGGAATTGCTGACGTAACATCCTACCTGAAGCACGGAAATCAAGCAGTGACAGAAGATGAGAGCAATCGACTTCATCGTTGAGTAATTTAGATATAAACGTAGCCTGTTGTAGCTTACGTCTTCGATCAAGCATTTCGAGGTCAAGCAGATGGCATCTATCGCGTATCACGCCATGGTAGGTTCCTGAGCGCAAGCCGTATCAATCTTTTTTGCACACGCTCGATTCTTAGGTTCCGTGTTACGTCGTTTGGAACTCATACAACTGAAGAATTTTCTAGGATCGGCCTTACGAGTGAACAATACTATACAATACAGTGTAGATCCGTGAAATCCTTGGCAATCTTAGAGATGAAGCCAAGTTGACGATTAGCCTTGGAAATAATCGACGCATAATGGGAATGAAAGGAAAGCTTCGAGTCCAATACGACACCAAGATCTGTCACTTGATCCACTTGGCTAAGAACAGTCACCCCTATTCTGTATTTCGTTTCGAAAGAAATTCTCATACAAAAAAATATTTTTTTGTATGAGAATTTCTTTCGAAACGAAATACAGAATAGGGGTGAGTATCTCGTTGTGGTATTCATAAATTATCGGGTCTTTGGACCGATAGAAGGTCATCACATGACATTTCACGACGCTGATGACAAGCTTGTTCGAGCGGCACAAGTGAACGAACATGTTAAGTAACCTTTGCAGGAGAAGGCAGTCCTCGATGTAGCGTACCACCACATAGTTTTTTTTTAGATCATCAGCATATACGAGCTTGTACTTGTGGCCAAGGTTAGGTGCAGCGTCATTGAAAAATAACACAAACAGTAACGGTCCCAAATTATCTCCTTGGGGGACACCGGACGTGCTGGCATATGGCGATGAAACATATGATCCGTGTTTAACGTACAGCGTTCTGTCAGTCAAGTACGATGACAACTTCACTTTAAATGATCTATATTTCTTGAATTTGTGTGGTTTACATGTATAACTTATCAAGTGACACAGATGCGTCTTTTCAACTTTAATTCCTTTGAAATTTCAATTATTATTATTGACAGTTCCTAGTCCTATCAGGCCAGTTTTTAAAGTATGACCACCTTAGTGGGATTAGTTTGATTTGAATTGGAAAAAGGAGACTACTTATAACTACTATTTACAACTACAACTAACCTAGAACTACTATATACACCTAATCTACCATATACAAATTGCTTATCAAAGCATGTTCTGATAAAATACATTTTTGTGCAAATTTAGTCTTCATTTCGTCAATTCGGGAATCTATTTTGGCAATGCCTGCCTCTTAATGTAAATTTGTTATGCTAGTGTCGAAAAGACGATTAAGAACCATCGTCAGCACTCTATTCTGAGCGATTTGGATTTTGTTCCTGTGAGTCTGTGCACATGATTCCCACACCGGAGCTGTGTAGAGGATCGCAGGTGCTATTATTTGTTTGTAGACAGCCAGTTTGTTCACCCTTGAGAGGCGGGATCTGCGGCAAATCAGCGGATACAGACACCTAACCAAGGCGGAACACTTGATTACGGTTTTCTCCACATGTGAGCGGAATAAAGGGTGATACGGTCAAAATTTGGTCTCAACTTGATTTGGTCAACTTGACGTATTTCTTTCAATTTTGCATTTAAAAAACCTGAACACCCCTCATTTTGAAGGTGTGTGTGTGTAGAATGTTGCTCCTATTTTGATTTTGGAATTCACTCTTCAGTTGTCAAAATGCCGTCCAAGCAAGAAGAGCAGCGTATCAAAATTTTGCTCGCGCATCGCGAAAATCCGAGCTACTCGCACGCAAAGTTGGCAAATCAACCGTTACAAATGTAATTAAAGTGTTTAGGGAACGTTTGTCGACAGCCAGGAAGTCTGGATCGGGGGGAAATCGAAAATCGGAAGCCGCTGAGACGACAAAGAGAGTTGCCGGTAGTTTCAAGCGAAACCCTAACCTCTCTCTCCGAGATGCCGCAAATAAGCTGGGTGTATCGTCTACAACCGTGCATCGAGCCAAAAAACGAGGCGGACTATCGACTTACAAGAAGGTAGTGACTCCAAATCGCGATGATAAACAAAATACGACGGCCAAAGCGCGATCCCGGAGGCTGTACACGACGATGCTGACGAAGTTTGACTGCGTGGTAATGGACGACGAAATCTACGTCAAAGCCGACTACAAGCAGCTTCCGGGACAGGAGTTTTATACGGCAAAAGGAAGGGGAAAGGTAGCAGATGTTTTCAAGCACATGAAACTGTCAAAGTTCGCAAAGAAATATCTGGTTTGACAAGCCATCTGTACCTGTGGCTTGAAAAGCAGCATTTTCATAGCTTCCGGGACTGTCAACCAAGAAATTTACGTGAAAGAGTGTTTGAATAAACGTCTGCTGCCTTTCCTGAAGAAACACGGTTGTTCCGTACTGTTTTGGCCGGATTTGGCATCTTGCCATTACGGTAAAAAGGCCATGGAGTGGTACGCCGCCAACAACGTGCAGGTGGTTCCCAAGGACAAGAACCCTCCCAACACGCCAGAGCTCCGCCCAATTGAGAAATACTGGGCTATTGTCAAGCGGAACCTAAAGAAGACCAAAAAAACTGCTAAGGGCGAGCAGCAGTTCAAGGCAAACTGGCTTTCTGCGGCGAAGAAGGTGGACAAGGTGGCTGTACAAAATCTGATGGCAGGGGTCAAGCGTAAGGCCCGACAATTCGGATTTGGAAAAGCGGAAGCCTAACTGAATATTTTTCCTGAATTTTATACTAATTGAACTTGAAAAAGAAATTTAATTTGATTTTTTAAATAAACGATTTCACCGATTTACACGCGTTTTCCCTTGACCAAATTTTGACCGTATCACCCTTTATATACAGTATACGCCCAGCCGAAGCTGGATTTTGATAGATACCGCACTTAAATAAATTAAACCTTTCGATGCTATTTGGACTATTGGAGTCAATTCATTCACGAACGCAAGCCCTGAGGTTTTGTTTGTTTTCGGACTGCTACTTTACATTCTGCGTGACGTTCAGCACCATCTGTAATTCTCCAGGTGAGAATAAGTATATGTCCTGCCGAAGCAGACTCTCTTGTGATACTACATTACATTAGTACATTTCTCCTTCGCTGCACTGGATTTCAATACGATCTACCGACTTGTTACCCTAAGGCTTTACAACTTCGTGGTTCGAAATGATAGTCATCGTGATTTTGAGGCAATTTGGATTCGGCTGTTGGCACAAACTGTCGTTTGCACAGGTAAGCCGAACGGTATATGTTCAGCCGAAGCTCAAATATTGGTTACTACATTCGCTTTTCCACTCCTTCGCTCTTCACTGGCTCGAATTGGAATCCGAGATTCCCGATCAAACGTTTTGAGGTGTACAGTTTTGAAATTTACTGCTATCTGGCTTCGGTAGCACCACTGGTTGTTCTCACAGGTGAGTTGAACAGTATATGTCCAGCGGAAGCAGACAATTTGCATACTACATCGCCGATTCCTTTCGATTCTCGGATCTTTCACCGTTTCGCCAAACATCGCGTGGAGCAACGCATCACTTGTACCTATCAACTTACGACTGGCTCTTGGTTCTTCGTTTCCGTACCGTGATTCTAGAACAACAACCATGTCAACGAAGATTACCAGGTCAACCGACTCCTTGAAGGTGTTGAAGTCAAAACTCAAGGGTCTTCGAGCGTCGTTAAACAACATTAGTCAGTTCGTTAGGTATTATAAAGAGGGTACAACAGCTAGTCAGGTTAATGTCCGCCTCGAACGTATAGATTTGTTGTGGGAGCAAATTAGTGAGACTTCTTGGGAAATCGAATCGCATGAGGACTACGAAGAGCAAGAAGGTGTCGAAAATGAGCAATTGGAGTTCGAGAATCGCTACTACGATGCGAAATCGTTCTTGATGGAGAAGGCCAAGAAGTTCCAGGAAGAATCAGCATTAAACCAGTCAACACGGAGTGCAGACGCCGCTAGTACACATGGTTCAATGGACCGTGTACGCCTGCCGCAAATCAAGCTGCAGACTTTCGACGGAGACATCGATGACTGGCTGAGTTTCAGGGATCTCTACACGTCCTTGATCCATGAGAAGGCAGAACTTCCAGATGTGGAGAAATTTCACTATTTGAAAGGATGCTTAGCAGGCGAAGCTAAGGCGCTAGTAGATCCGCTAAAGATAACTAGCGTCAATTATAAAATAGCTTGGGAGTCGTTGCTAAAACGTTTCAATAACAGTCAGTTACTAAAGAGGAAACAGGTACAAGCGCTGGTCAAACTACCTTCACTCGCATTCGACCGTGCGATTCAGATATTGGATCAAGTCATCGAACCAGCCGAATATAAGGATTTGCTGCTGGTAGAACTGCTGAGTTCTCGTCTGGATCCAGTCACTCGACGTGGATGGGAGGAACACACGTCCGCTAAGGAGCAAGATACTCTACAGGACTTGCAGGAGTTCCTACAACGGAGAATTCAAATCCTCGAGTCTCTACCAGCGAAGGCAGAACTCAAAAACGAGCCGCAACAACCCAAACGGAAGTCGTTTTCACCGAAGGTCAACCACAACGCCGTACAATGGAATACCGCTAATTGCCCATCGTGTACAGAGGTTCATGGACTACATACGTGTCCAGCCTTCCTGAAAATGTCGCTGTCCAGCAGGGAGTCGTTTCTACGAGCACAGTCACTCTGCCGAAACTGTCTCAAGCGAGGACATCTAGCTCGAGATTGCTCGTCAAAGTTCTCGTGTCGCAACTGCAAGGCTCGACACCACACACTGCTGTGCTTCAAGGACGAAGGAAGAAGCAGTAGGAATGGATCACCCGAGAAAACCAATTCGGGTAATAGTGGCAACCGGAACGACTCGAGTTCTGATCCCAAGGCAGTGAATGCAGCATCGATCGAGACAGCATCGTCAAACACGGCGCAGCTTCCGACATCGCAGGTACTTCTGGCTACAGCAGTTGTTGTGATCGAGGACAGCCAGGGTTCTCGCTATCCGGCACGTGGGCTATTAGATTCCGGGTCGGAATGCAACTTCATTTCTGAAAGTCTGAGTCAGTTGATGAAGGTTGCTAGCCAGAAGGTCGATATTTCAATATTGGGCATCGGACAATCCGGAACGAGTGTCAAGCGAAAGATTCAAGCCGTCGTCAAGTCTCGAGTCTCGTCGTACTCTAGACCGATGGATTTTCTCGTCTTGCCGAAGGTCACAGCTTGTCTGCCTACTTCTACAGTGCAGGCAAATGGATGGGACATACCGGCAGACATCGAACTGGCAGATCCAGAATTCTTCCGCTCGAGAGAGGTCGACTTGGTCATGGGCATCCAAGCTTTCTTCAGCTTCTTCCCATCCGGAAGGGAGGTTCCACTGGGAACCGGTATGCCAGTACTCACCGAATCAGTTTTCGGATGGATAGTGACAGGCGAGGTCGCTACATCAAATCATGGTGCGAGATATTCATGCAACATGTCGGTATCGAGCAATCTGGAGGAGCTAATGGCACGGTTTTGGTCCTACGAGGAAGTGGGAGCCGTCAGCAAGTTATCTCCGGACGAGACGCGCTGCGAAGAGCAATTCGAGCGCACAGTCGAACGGAATTCGGATGGCCGATACAGCGTTACTCTCCCTAAGAACGACAATGTTTTAGCGGAACTAGGCAAATCGAGAGACATCGCGCTACGACGTCTTCGAGCTGTGGAACGGCGACTGGAAAAGAATCCAGACCTTCAGAAGCAATATTTCAACTTCATGACCGAATATTTCGAGCTCGGTCACATGAGAAGAGTGGACGATAATGAGGAGGGGACAGTCAAACGATGTTTCCTGCCACATCATCCTGTAATCAAGGAGTCAAGCACCACGACCAAGGTAAGTGTGGTCTTCGATGCTTCGTGTAAGACGTCTTCTGGGATTTCGCTGAACGATGCCATCTATGCTGACCCTGTGGTACAACAGGACTTACGGTCAATTTTTCTCCGCAGTCGTACACGTCAGGTGATGGTTGTAGCCGACGTTGAGAAGATGTTCCGACAGATTTGGACGAACTTGATCGACACTCCTCTTCAATGCGTTCTTTGGTTGGGAACCGATGGAAGCGTTGTAGCGTATGAATTGCTGACGGTGACATATGGCACAAAATCAGCACCGTATCTGGCAACTCGTACGTTGAAGCAGCTGGCAAGTGACAAACGAGCAGTTTCCCTTGGCTGCACCAGCAGTAGAAGAGGACGTGTATATGGACGACGTTATTTCTGGAGCAGACGACGTCGAATCTGCGGTCGAATTGAGGCGACAAATCGACGCAATGATGAACAGTGGAGGATTCAAGCTGCGAAAATGGGCCTCCAACTGTCCCACTGTTCTTGAAGACATTCCGAAGGAGAATTTGGCGCTACCGGATTCTAATGGGATCGACTTGGACCAGGATGCAGAGGTAAAAACATTGGGTTTGACCTGGCTTCCCAACGTGGACTGTTTCAAGTTCTCGTTCACGATTCCATCACTAACGGATGACCAGATCCTAACGAAGCGACAAGTGCTCTGCTTCATTGCGAGATTATTTGATCCACTGGGACTGCTCGGTGCGACGATCACAGCAGCGAAAATATTCATGCAAAGGCTCTGGTGTTTGAAGGGCGAACACGGGCAATGTCTGCAATGGGATGACCCACTACCTGGAACGGTGGGTGAGGAATGGCGAGAATTTCACAAGCAAATTCCTGCACTGAACATGCTTCGCATACAACGGTGTTTCATAGCACCAAGAGCGGTGTCCGTGCAATACAACTGCTTCTCAGATGCATCAATTCTCGCTTACGGTGCGACAATCTACGTTCGGAGTAAACGACAAGATGGTTCGGTTTCGGTGCACCTTTTAACCTTGAAATCAAAGGTAGCACCTCTCAAAGTGCAATCACTACCACGGTTGGAGCTATGTGGTGCACTTCTAGCGGCTCAGCTTTGGGAAAAGGTAGCGGAATCTCTGAAGGCAGACGGCAGCGTTCACTTCTGGTCGGACTCAACCTGTGTTCTCCACTAGATTCGTTCTTCTCCAGGAACGAGGACCACTTTCGTGGCGAACAGGGTCGCCAAAATTCAAGCGCTGACAGAGGGAAACAATTGGAGACATGTTTCGGGAAGCACCAATCCCGCTGACCTAATTTCACGCGGAATCGCTCCGAAAGATATTCTCGAGAACGACTTATGGTGGCATGGGCCCACCTAGTTAGAGGACCCTCCCGAAGAATGGCCGAAAGGAGCTGGAAACCCACCAGAAGAAGAGTTAGAACGACGACGCAATGTGGTGGTTTGCGCTTCGTCGATGGAAAGAGAATGCGTTTCGGATTACTTTAGGAAGTTCTCATCGTTTACTAGGCTAATTCGCACAACAGCTTACTGGCTACGTTTCATGGACAACTTACGATGTCCAGAAGAACAAAGACGGACAGGTTTTCTATCCGCTAGCGAGCTGAACCTAGCCGAATGTGCGATCATCCGGAAGGTGCAAGCGGAATCATTTTCGGAGGAGATCAAGCATCTATCATCAGGCCTCCCGTTCGTCGAAATTCTCCCTTGCGATGGTTTAACCCTCGAATCGATGAAAACGGTATCCTGCGAGTTGGTGGTAGACTAGCGCACTCCGAGGAATCACAACAAACGAAACACCCGATGGTTTCACCCGCTCGACATTCATTCACGGAATTCGTTTTACGCTTCTATCATCACAAACATCTGCACGCTGGGCCCCAACTACTTTTGGGTACGGTTTGGCAACGATATTGGCCACTAGGTAATAGAAATCGTGCGCGAAAGGTTTTCGTCAGTGCCAGCGTTGTTTTCGAGCGAGACCGTCGATCATTCAGCAACAAATGGGTGAGCTACCGGCTGCTAGAGTTACGGTTTCGAGACCGTTTTCCAAGACTGGAGTCGATTTCTTCGGACCAGTATACACCCGAGCAGGACGTGGACGACAACCGACCAAGGGCTACGTTGCAATCTTCGTGTGCATGGAAACGAAAGCAGTTCATATGGAGTTCGTGTCAGATTTGTCGACGGAACGGTTTCTACAGGCTTTGCGGATATTCTTTGCCCGCCGAGGACGATGCACAGATGTCAACTCGGACAACGGGACTAATTTTGTAGGAGCAAGAAATCAGATCCATGAGCTATTCACGATGCTGAAAGATAAAACACATTGTGAGAAGGTGTGCGGATGAAGGCATATTTTGGCATTTTAACCCCCCGGTTCATGAGTTGATGGATCGATAGGTAGGGTCCAGGTGTGGGAGCTGCCTTCCTGGCACGTCGGTAGCATTGGTGCTCAGCACGGAAAATAAGATCGACGGAAAAAACAAACCAAAGAAGAAAAAAAACAAGAAAAACAGCGGATGCTGCCAATTGAAAACAAGATTGACTGGAATTTAGGTACTCCACGGTGCTACCAATCGGTTGAGTGTGGTGGCTAGTGGTAGTGAATGGATTCGCCGTGGTCACTCACTACTACGCACGAGCTGCACGGAGAAGGAGAGAGTTTTCGTCGAAGAATGTGGGAAGTAGGATTAGGAGATAGAAATGTAAATATAGGAAATAAGTTAGTCTAAAAAGTACACCGTCGCGAGTAGTCGACCGGGGGCGAACCCCGTACGAAATTATTCCCCCCTATTCTGCGAGTCACGTGACTCTCTCTCACCGGTGAGGTGACAATTGTCACCTCACCGGTGAGAGAGAGTCACGTGACTCGCAGAATAGGGGGGATTGTTTAGTTTTTAGTTAGTATAAATGTAGTGTTGTTGTAAATAAAATCACGGTATTTTGTGAAAAAGGGTGTAGTGTTCTGTATGCGGTGAAGGAAGGTCTGCGGATGACAGAAGAATTTGGTCGAGGAAAGGATACAGATTCTACAAGGAAGGAAGGAAGGGATACCTTCGCCGGACAAGTAGAAGTCACCATCAAACGGTCGGGACGGTCCCCGACATATTTAATATTTGCGTTTTTCAACTAGTTTAAAAAAATCCCCTTTTGGGGGTGTGTTTTGTTTGAATTGAAAAAAAAAATGTAAAATCTACCTAACTACGAGTATAACTTAACCTAACGTGCTAGATCACGTATGATCTGATGATTTGATCTCAGACAGGTGTCTCTGAGCCTTTCCAGGATGAATACTTTTCGTTCTTCTAATGTCTGAATACCAGCCAGGAGCTAGTCCGTGGGGGACTGTTTAGGACCATCCTAAGGATCTTGTTCTTGATCCTTTGAAGTTTGATTTGTTTGTAGACAGCAAGCTTATTTTTCAGGGATAGAGTAGACCTACTGTTGATGAGTGGATACAGTGAACTTATCAAGATTTTACACTTGGTTTTGGTTTTGTCAACGTGCTCCTTGAAAATCAGCTTGCTGTCTAGTGTTAAGCCGAGGTAGACTACCTCTTTCGACCATTCCACCACTGTGCCGTTCAGGCAGATCTTATTATTCACCGACGGAACAAGTCTGGGAGATTTTGAGTGTGGAAAGCTGATGACCTGGGTCTTTGCCGCGTTGATACGGACCTTTCAGCTGTTGAAATATTCAGACAGAACGTCCAGGCCTCTCTGAAGTTTGGCAGTCAGAGCTCCGATGACACTATCCTTGTAGACGATGGATGTGTCATCTGCAAACAGAGACAACGATCCACCATCAGGGAGAGCCGGTATATCGGAGGTGAACAGGTCGAATAAAATGGGGCCAAGGATGCTTCCTTGTGGAACCCCGGCACCGATGTTGAAAGCATCCGATGTGATGCCATTCAGAGAGACTCGGAACGTCCTGTTCGATAGATAGTTGTTAATTATCTCCACTAGGAAGATTGGAAGACCATACTGCTGCAATTTGAACACCAGGCCATCATGCCAAACATTGTCGAACACTTTTTCAACGTCCAACAACGCCATGGCAGATATTTTCGAAACAGACTTGTTCCGTCTGAGAATATTTGATTTCGCGAGTCAGCTGGTGGACGTTCGAACGACCAAACTGTTCCTCAAGTAACAAGTTGTTTTCTTCGGCAGATGTTAGGAGCCGGTGGTAGACTGCTCTTTCGAACAGTTTTGATAACCCTGAGAGAAGGCTGAGTGGTCGATAACTTGAAGGAGAGGACGAATCCTTCCCAGGTTTCCGGAGCTGACTTCCAGCACAAGAGGAAGTAGCCAAGTCGGAGGCACAGATTAAAAATCAGTGCCAGATGGTTGTAGAATCTGTAACTCAAGTGTTTGAGTTCTAGATTCTGGATGTTGTCGAAACCTGGGGCCTTCATGTTTTTAGATGGTTTGATGTAGACCAACAGTTCGTCAGCCGTAATCTCGGATTCCTCGGAAAAAAATATTGGGAATCTGATGGAGGTTGGTTGCGTTTTCAGCAACCTCAGCTTCGTGAGGGCTGACGATGTTTTGTCCGAGATTATGGGAGCTGACGAAGTGTTGACCTATCGCGGCTGCCTTCTCTTCAGGAGTTATCAGATGAACCACTGCGTCGCCGTAACGTTCCAGTGGGGTCAGTGGTGGAAAGAATTTTGGTTAGTTTCTTACCACAATCTGGGGAAGAGCGGATCCTGTTAGCAAAGTCCTGATTTCTGAGGTCTACCATCCTGGTGTGGATGGTTTTTGTTAGAAGATTACAGTGGGTCTTAAGGACAGGTAGACCAAAGCGTTGGTACTGCCTTCGGATGGTGTTACGGAGCCTTATAAGGCTTTTGGTACATCTGTCAAGGTTCAGAGTATTGCTCACCTGTCTGGATACTGGCACGTGTTGCTCCCTTGCCCGGGAAATCGCTTCATCGATGGAGCGCAGACACCGGTCGATGTCGTCGGTCGTTTCCGGGTGGACGTCATAGTCGATACTGGTGTCAATGCAGTGTTGGAACTGCGACAATTCTACCCGACGGTAGTTTCACCGTGATGCTTGGAATTTGTTGATTGAGGAACCCACTTCAGCCACCACCGGATAGTGGCCCGAACTGAGTTCCTGATACACGACAGGTTGCGAAATGTTGTTGCCCATGTTGCTGATGTAGATATCGATGGTGGCGTGGGCACCGGACCTACTCAACCGGGTGGGAGTGTCCGGACTCAAGATGTTGTACTGCGCTTCCTGCAAATCGTTGTTCAGGATGGTGCCGTTTTGATTGCGCCGACTGTTGCTTCAAGCTTGATGTTTGGCATTCAGGTCGCCAGCTTGATGATATCTCGTCGAAGGTCCGCTGCCGACCAATCCCTGTTGTTGACTTGTTTGGGGCAGTAAGTCGCAATAATGGTGATGGGGCCAAGTAATATAGGCTGTCTTGCAATGAGCACTCATACATAGGATTTCCAGTGAAAACTAGATGTATGAGTGCTCATTGCAAGACAGCCTATATTACATGATATAAGCCATAGTCTGTACGGGGTATTACTCTATTCACAAATTGAGGTGTGGACATACCAAAATCAAACGCGGACTCGACGGATACAAACATACGAACCATTGCACAAATAGGCCTGGTTGTAGCCATGGAGAGTACGATGAAAGCTCGGTTGCATCAGGGATTGCTGATGTAACATCCTACCTGAAGCACGGAAATCAAGCAGAAGATGAGAGCAATCGACTTCACCGTCGAGTAATTTAGCTTGTTGTAGTGACGGTCGACCAGCAGATGGAAATTATGTGCAACATGATAATGACGTTTTGCTACGTGTCAAATCGTATGACATATTTTTTAGTACATCATCAGTTTTGTAATTGCAAATCTGAAAACGCATAGTCAGTTTTACCTTTGCTTAAATTCATCAATAACCTCTGATTGTTCTCAACATGTCACTGTATGAAGGGCCAAAAACGGTTTTGGTGGATCGATAGGTATTTCACCTATACGCTTGCACGGGATGATTGAGAATCTCCTTCCAGCCACATGATCATACAATTGGTCAAAAACAATCGGTCCGACAGAAGGATACCCCAATGAGTGTGGAGAAGAGCCCTCCCTTTTCCACGAGATGTTAAGAACAGAGAGTCGACAATTTCACTCTCCCCATCCAAATCGCTTCAATTGAGTGCGCTGGTGGTCCCTCCCCTTCCCATCAGTTATGATGGGACTGCCATCATAAAATGATCACTTTTAAGAGTGTTCCGGTTCTCGCGGTGGACCGACGGTGCCCTATTGGAAGTTTGGTTTATCCAGAGGGTGTTGATCTATAGACTCCAAAGATACAAGGATGATATCCCGTCAAGCTAACCCAAAATCAGTGATGGGCCCCAATTAGCTGTCATACGTGTATTCATTAGTGCTGTCCCAATTAACCGCACTATAGGCATTTTACTGTATGGGAAATAGTTTGGGGTTGTCTATAATCTACGTAGTATTTCTGAGATATTTTAAAACCTCTCTACTCCCTCCGCTTAGATAGCCGTTCATAGCGTATTAAAAATTTGCATGGATCAAAGACACTCGACAAACAAATCCTCCCCCTCTCCTCTGTCCAGTTCCCCACATTGCCATTGATTGCAATTTAAATATATTGAAACAGTGATTTAAGTGATGTAGAAGGACCCACACATTTGTGTAGCTCCATCCCAAAATGAGTAAAAAAATGGCTCAATTTATTGACGGACCTACACAATTGTATT